ATTTGCTCCAGCAGAACTTGTTTGACTTGAATCTACCGAGGATGAACTTGCAACACTATCTTCACTGGAATTTGAACTTGAAGCACTTGAACTCTCTGAGCTTGAATTTGAACTATTTGCTCCAGCAGAACTTGTTTGACTTGAATCTACCGAGGATGAACTTGTGACACTACCTTCACTGGAATTTGAACTTGAAGTACTTGAACCTTCTGAGCTTGAACTTGAAGCATTAGAAGTCGAACTTGAAGTATTTGCTTCACTAGAATTATAACTCGTGTTGCTTGATACATTTGAAGATGAAGTTGAACTACTAGCTGTAATTGATGAAGAACTGGCACTACTGCTTGATTGGCTACTATTAGCACTAGAATTTGGATTAACTGTTGAAGCACCAACACTTGGAGTTAAAGAATTGATAATTGTCGTTATTCCATTAAGTGCATTATTAACGAAATTATTAATATTATTTTGTATTTGACTAATAGTGTTCGAAAGACCATTTTCGATAGCTCCAAGACCTGGTAAATTATTTACAATCCCCGTCGCACTTTCAACAATATTATTGATCGCATTTTGCAATTGATTGAGCACTTGGTTAAGAATATCCGAAGCACCAGCAGGAAGATTACCAAATGAGTTTAGACTATTTTGGAGCGTGTTCTCAATCGTGGCTAAAGCTGTTGAACCAAGGCTTGTAAGATTACCCAAACTATTATTTACTTGGTCAAGAAGGCTGGAAACTCCCGTTAAATTCGCAACTTCTCCCAAAGATGCTCCAGTAAGATTATTTAATATTGGGCTTAAAACATTATTAACTGTAGTACCTACAAGTGGAATATTACTAATAGTTGGAGATAATTGACTCCAAGCAATTTGACCGACTCGATTAATCGCTGAATTAACTACTAAACCAGCCAAGTAGTTGACAAGATCATTTCCTTGAAGAGAGACAAGTGTGTCTAAATCAAAATTAACACCACCCAAGGCATTGGAAGTTGTCGTATTAAGTTGATTAACAATCCCACTTGTTACAGTACTTATTGCGCTAAGTACTGGGCTTAGTACTAGACTTGCCCCCGGAATACTTGAAAGTCCTGGAATTGTTGGATTTTCAAGAAAAGTAAGCATAGCAGCAGGGCTCATTGATGGGATAGCATTAAATGCCGCCGCAATTTGCCCTCCAACTAATGGAATTTGGCTAACATCTAAACCTGCATATTTTATTTCATTTAATAGAAAGGCTCCAGGATTAGCAGCTGCTTCCTGAATATTTCCAACAATATTGACGATTTGTTCAACACCATTAAGAGCTGCCGCGGCTGTAGTCATTCCTGGAATATTAAAAGTTCCAAGAGTGCTAAAAATATTTGCTAAACCACTAATTCCCACTGTCGAAATTGCTTGATTTACAAGATCTCCAAGTGTTGTGTTAAGAATCGCTGAACCACTTGTTGTAGCAGGCGCTGCTGCAGCTAGTGCCTGAGTAAACATTGGCACCATGGACGGATTAGTCGCTAGAATAGCTGTAAAAGAAGCGACAGCAGCACTCGAAGCACTAGCACTACTATTTCCCACAAGATTCATTTCCGAACTTTGAGAAACTGATGCAATACCACTATCAATTGCTGAACTTTCACTCAAAATTACTGATGAACTTGTTGAACTTTGAGAGACAGCTGCCGAATCAACGCTGTCTGCAGCATTAGAAGAACTTAATATAGAATTGCTGCCATTATCATTTGATGAGCTTGAATCTGCAAGCGATACGATATTGTTTGTAGGAGTTTGAATAACCGCTGTACTTGTCGTATTTTGGCTTTCATTAATTGAATTGCTACTATCTGACACATTTGAAGTTATTCCCTCAGTATCAGTTTCTACTGTGTTAGCCAGTGACTTATTAGAACTTTGGTCACTAGCTTGTTCATAAGCAACTTGATTTTGACTAGCAGCTACATCACTATTTGTCGATGAAGCTAGTGCTGAATAACTTGTTACCTCAGTAATACCACTAATTTGCTGACTACTGTCAACTGCTGTGTCCGCTTTTACATTTTGGTCAGTAATCGTTCCTGAAACGATAATTATAGCTAATGCTGAAGTAGCAAATAACCAACTTTTCCCTGATTTCCAAGTTCGAAAATGAGACTTGGAGGTAACCGTAGTCACTTCTGACCGTATTTTTATCATTTATTCTCTCCTTGCCGATACAAATTTTCTAGGCTATCATTGTACGTAATTTTCTCATTTTTTCTATCCTTCATTTATTTTTTTAGAAACTCCTTTCAAATTCTTTTCATGTGTCTATTCTTTTTTTCTTTCTTCTTACCCTTATTTTTTGCCCGCTTTCTTTTTTCTCTTTTTCTTCTATCCTCTGATTCAAAGCTAATTTTTTTAAAATCTATATATTCATAAATCATTTTATCTGCTAAGTCATTGTTTAATTCACTATTGAACTCCCTATCTTCTTGCCAATCTACATAATCATAGAGAAAGAGCGTTAAATATTGTAGCCAATCACAGACCGCATTTTCTTTTCCTCTACGAGATATTGTCCTAAAAATATCTCCAAGCGGAAAATAAAGTGACGGAATAATTGATTTATCAAAAGGTCCGAAAAAGTTTCCTTCTCTTTTTCTAGCACTAGAATCGTAAACAAATTTAGCATTTGTAAGAAAGATATTTATTTCTCCATCAAAAATTCCTTTTTTTATTATCCAATCCAAATATTGAGATATTTCTTTAACAAGCCACTTTGTATTGTTGGTTTAATCCATAGTTTTGGTTTAAACATCTTTTATTTTCCCCCTGAATATTTACATTTTTTTCAAATACTGCCTCATTAAATATTCTTCAACTGAGACTATATCAACTTTCTCAAAATCACTAAACAAAACCTCAGAAAGTTCTTCACCAATAGAGTCATATAATGGGGAGTCTATTTTTCCTAAAAATAGACTCTCTTCTTTAACTTTTACAACTTTTGATATTTCTATCAAGTCTTTTTTCCCACGTGCATAAAGGATATTTTTATTAAGCAGGTGAGAAAATTTGAATTTTTTTGGTTCAAAATCTCTTGAAAGATTGAAAACATCAAAAAATTTGCCATTTGTTTTCACAAAATAACTCATTAAATCCAGATACTCGCTTGAATCTATTGTTTTATTAATAATATTTTTATGTATTAAAGATATAGAAAGAAACGTCCTTTATCATCTATCAATTCATAAAGATAAAATTTTTCTTTCCTTCCAAGCTTTTTACCAACATAAAAATTCTCTTCATTATCTTTTGTATAAATTTCTTGAAACATTACCTATTTCTCACTTCTTTATTCTATTTGATTTACTATTTCTATATTTTCTAACTGCCGACATTCCCCAATGATGTATTTTTCTGTACATATCCCCTAGCAAAACGCCTCGTTCAATAGAATAGTCGATTGTTAGTTGGGTAGCCTTTTTATCTATTTCATCTTCATTAAAATCAGCTTTTTCTGTACTAAGTAAATCATAGTATTGCATAAGACCATACGATATATCATTTAAAATACTATAAACAGCATTTCTTCTCCCCCAGCGATGCATCTCAAAAAATCTCCTACCGCTATTTTCATATAATAATCTTTTTGCTCTCCCCATGGCTTTCCGAATGTAGAAGTCACATGATTTCCAGTTTTATCACTAACAAGATAAGAAGCCCCAGTAATAATAATTGTCAATTGCTCTGGAAATGAATTTCTTTCTTTTAGCCAATCAATATATTTTATAATCTCCTTCGCAACTAATCTATTAACGGACGGAAGAATATTTAGTTTAATTTCATAGTTCATAATTATTTATTTCCTCTATGTCCCCTTCCAGGCGTATGTTTTTTTGTTGCACGATTTGGATCTTTATTAGAATTACTTTTAAACTTACCATTCTGACGATTTTTATTGTTAACCTCTCTATTCATCTTGTCAATAGGGTTCAATACGTATCAATAAACTTGAAATTTATCACTTTTTAAATTAGCTAACGTCAATAAGCGTCAATACGTTTCATCTTAAACGTAGTTAAAAACGTAATTAAATATTTTTGTTAGGCAAGGTGCTGTATATCTAATATATACAGTATTTTTATTATATTAAAAAACTACTCATAATATGAGTAGTCCTAATTTATTCAAAAGATAAGCAAGGACAAAATCTAGTTAATTAACTTGAAACTTCATAAGCTCCTCCAGCAACAATTACTACAACGCAATCAAAAAATTAGTGTTTTTTCGAAACTAATGAAAATACGTACTGCATACCAAGGTTGTCTCTTTATAAAAATCGTTAACATTTGTTATTGACGAAATAGTCAGAAATTTATATAATAATCTCACAAAACAATGGAAGTTCTTTATGAAAAAATTCAAAACTAAGTTTATTACACTTGCACTTGCTTCGGCATTTATTGCAGTAGGTTACTCAACTGCAGCTTCTGCTGATTCAGTTAAATCTACAACCCCAAATTCAACTCCAACAATTTCACTTCGTTCAAATGTGGAATTTCAAGGGGGGGAGGTTCAAAGCAATTCACTTATATTAAACATTACGCTAATGGATATTTGGCATATGATAACTGGTTCAAAAGATATGTATATGTAGTTACAAGAAATCCTGCTGGTGCAGCTTTTTATGTTGTATCTAAAAACTTTGTTTATTCGGTATAAAATATATGACAAAAAAATTAACCAATATTTTACTTTTGATGATAGTAAAAAAGAATTCTCACTTCCCACGATTTCAAAAAAAACAAAATATAATTATAACAGTTTAAAAGACTTTACCCTTTATGCTTCTGGTTCTCCTAGTGATACTGTTGAGATTAAAGAACGACTTAAGTCAAAGAAAAATTATTTGAATTATTTATCTTTTCTTTCTTTATGGATTGAAATAAATTTTGAAGAAGATAAATCACAAAAAATTGTATTCTATAACACTCCTTATACAGCAAGTGAAAAAGAACGCAAAATTTTGTTGAATTAGCGATTGATATTATTGATAAATTAAATGAAATTAAAAGTAATAGTAACTAAACTAATAATGGATAGGTCTCTTTATATCAAGCTATATTTATTTGTGGCTAAAGGTACTGATTACTTTTTATATAAAATAAAACACGATCCTTTCTGGACGTGTTTTTATTTTTAAAGATAAATCGTTTTAAAGTCAAAAATTTATAAGATATCTGAAAAATTGGAGTTTTACGAAACAAGCGAAAATATCTTCCTACTTCTACTACTTCACTATCAAGATTATTTTCAATACAATTAGGAAAGTTTTTTTTACTTAAATTAGTACTTAGTCCCTCACCCCTTATATATGCCAGTTTGTCCATCTTTAAATTGTAGTCAAATCATTTCTTCATCTCGGCTTTTAAATGGACTCTATTTCTGAATTCATACAATGAGATCAAGTCACTTGCAAAATCATCGTCAATTAGATCTAGTTTTACTAATTTTTTACTTTATTTTCATATGGTGAACCCTTTTCTTTGGGCTTCTCCATCAACTGAGTAGAGATAGAGCGTTCCTTTAAGTTCGATTGTTGTAAAAATTGGATGTTCCATTATGTTTTTCCTGCTTTCTAAAAATAAAAAGCAAGCCTCCCCACCCATGGGTGAAAAACTTGCCCATTGGGTGGTCGTAAATGTATCATATTTTTATGTTACTCATCTTTCAGATTTAGAACGGTAAGTCATCTGGGTTGATCTCCATTGGAGTTCCACCAAATAACTCTTCAGCGGTTGTTTGATTTGATTCTTGAGTAGAGGCTGGACCATTTGAAGTTCCATTTCCTACTTGAGACCCTTTTGATTCTAAAAACTCAAAATTATTGACGAGAACTTCCATACTAAACCGTTTGACTCCTGAAGAGTCTTTATAGGATTAGTTCGTAATTCACCATCAATTCCAATTCTATTTACTTTTGAAGCATATTTCACAAGTGTTTCTGCTTTTTCTCCCCAAAGAATACATGGAATAAAGTCAGCTTCACAATTGCCATTTGCATTTTTAGACTTACGGTTTACCACAATCGAAAAATGAACATAGCTTTTATTAGAAGGCTTCTTTTTAAGTTCAAGGTCTTTTGACAAATGTCCGATTTGGTGTGTGTTATTCATAATATTGCCCTCCTAGGTTAAAATTGCGATAGTAAAAATCTACTACCCACAGGTAGTAAAACTTCGCTACCTGCGATTGGATGTTGTTGATTCTGACTTAATTCAGCCATAATGAGTAAATGAGTCACATGTCTAGTGTGAAATTAGAGCCTCATTCCTAAATAATTAGTGACACAATATTTGAAGTCACGCGCATTAAGTCTTTGACAATAATTTTGCGCAGCCCCTGGTGTTTCAAATTCAATAACGATGAGCGTAGTTGGGAAATTACCAACAACTGTTCTTAAAGGGTTATGAAGTTGGACGCATACAAAGTTCAGATCACACTAGAATCTTTCACTTTTGTCGCCTCTTGTACTACTGGAAGCTTTCGCTTTGCACATTCGTTGAAGAAATCCTTCAACTCAACATTCTAGATTCAAGTTGTTAAGACGCAAGCGCCACTTGCAAGCCACTTCTAAGGATGACACATCGCTCCCACACTGGGCATGACGCTATCTTAATCATTAATTGATTTAAGCATTTCTACATTAGACACTCTTAAGCCAAACTTTGAATCGTAAGTAGTCTCAGACATCAACTAATGCCTTTGTCCTCCTGACTTGAAAGAACCCCCTACTTATCTAAAAATTAATACCTTAATTTCGGTTCCTGGTTGCTGGAGTTAAAAAATGGCGTAACTTCATCTTCTATAGTTTCATAGGAAACCTGTATCACACGATACTCTCTTAAGAACACGCGTTCTCAATTGCTTTAACTAAAAAGTATAAATTGGAATTTATTTAATTAGAAATCGATATTAATAGAAAAACTCTATAAAAATAGTTTTATAAAATATTTGTAATAATAAATGAAAAATATTATTATAGAGAAAATAATATGAATTAATAAAAAATAACCAACAATATAAATTGTAGATGGGGCTGACCGAAGGTCAAATAAGTTTAATTTTGTATATGCTTAGATTATCTCACACAAAAAAAGGGACCTCATTTAATCCCTTTTTACTATTTTTTCATATTTATAAGTTAAACTTCCTATTATTGATAGGATTTTCTGGTAAATCTGTGCATTTTTAAATAAGTCTGATAAAAAATATCGTAAAGATTTATTTTATTAATATCAAAATTGTGGACTAACGTTTTCAACTAAATTTTTTAGAAAGCAATTTATCAGTCAACTTTTCTAAATATAACTGTTCATTCAAAAAACTTTTCTTTAATTATAGAAGGTTGCCACTCTTCATATTTTAAGTCGAGAGGACATACAACTACTGTAATTTATATGATTATACCTTATAGAAACAATATATAAATCATTACTTCACAAACCATATATTATTTCATAATAATAAATCATGGTCTTTTTTATAGTCTTAATAAGACAAACATACAGTATGAATACTCTGTATGCTCAGTTTATATTTTTTTCAGTGACACTTAACTGTTGGAGCAAGGTAACACTGTCAAATTCTTTCTCTTTAGTTTTCCTATTTATTCTTGGTAAATCTCAACTAAATTTCTAGATTCTTCATCTCATTCAGGTGAATTTAGAAAAGTATTAATGTCTTCCCCCCACCAGCAATCGATTTCTTCTAATAAATACTTAATAGAATTGGTTTATTACATTTTATCTCTCACTTTTTATTTTTCTATAATCGCTTTGATTATATATCAAACCAGGGATGAGCGAGGCGACAATAACAACCAGTTCAATTAATTCAGTAAGAACCCTTGGAATTTTTATACTGATGGTTAAAGTAAGAGAACTGAGGGAACTAAGAGGGACCAATGAGCACCATGGCCCAAATACATTATTTAACTTAAAATTCCCTTTCAATTCTAAGGAAAACATATAAATTTCTATAATTAATGAGACTTACTTAAAAAATAATTTAATCTGAAACCTCATAATGAAGTCTGGACAATTGATTTAACCAATACTCTAACTTTGAATACTTATTAGTAGATCATCTAAAAGATGCAACTTCTTTCTCAACCGCCTTTAAAGCCACTCCAAAGACCTGATCCATGTCGTAGTATTGATAGTTACCTAAGCGCCCTCCAAAAATAACATTTGGATATTTTTTAGTCTCTTCTTTATATTTTCTAAAAAGCTTAGAATTTTTTTCATCATTAACTGGATAGTAGGCTTCTTTTGTACGATCCCAATTTTGAGGATACTCTTTCGTTAAAATCGTATATCCCTCGTCAGCTTTTTTATCGAAATGTCTCCACTCCATCACACGAGTATAGGGCGTTTCTGCATCAGTATAATTGATAACCGCATTTCCTTGAATATTGTTAGATTTTACATTTTCTGTTTCGAAGCGTACAGAACGATACTCCAGTTCTCCAAAAGAATAATCAAAAAACTGATCAATCATTCCCGTATAAACAATTTTTGGAAATTCTTCTAAAAATACTTCTTTATCACTGAAAAAATCTACGCCTGTTTGAACATCGATAAGGTCAGAATCAAGCATTTTATCAAAGATTGCAGTATAACCATCAACTGGGACCCCTTGATAACGATGATTGAAGTAATTATTATCAAACGTATAGCGAACCGGAAGACGGCGGATGATGAATGAGGGGAGCTCAGTAGCTTTACGTCCCCACTGTTTCTCAGTATAACCTTTAATAAGTTTATGATAGATATCAGTCCCAATCAAACTAATTGCTTGTTCTTCTAGATTTTTAGGGATTCCTGAAATTCCTGCTTTTTCCTTCTGTTCCTCAATCTTAACAGCCGCTTCTTCTGGATTCTTTACCCCCCACATTTGATAAAAAGTGTTCATGTTAAAAGGAAGATTATAAAGTTCCCCTTTATAATTCGCAACAACTTGATTAATATAATTATTAAACTCTGTAAATTGATTGACGTAATCCCAAACCATTTTATTATCAGTGTGGAAAATGTGTGCACCATAATCATGGACATTGATTCCATGTTCCTTATGAGTATACATATTTCCACCAATATGAGAACGACGTTCAACAATTAATGATTTTTTACCATGTTTTGCAGCTTCATGGGCAAATATCGAACCATAAGGTCCTGCTCCAACAATAAGATAATCATAATTTTTTTATTAAATTTCATTTTTCAGTTCCTCATTTTTATATCTTATAACCCCTGGTATTCTCTATTCATATTTTGATCGATTTTTAAAAATAATGAATAACTACTATATTGAAAGAAATTACAAATAAAAGAATATAGAAAATTTATCCTTTTATTTACTTTATTTGTTTCAAAAACCACAACACGGAAATACGTAGTATTTCTTTTTTATCCTTGATAGATAGTTTCTTAAAGAATATTTCTAAACTTCTTTCGGGAATTTCATTATTTTCACCAATTAAATATTGAGGTGAAACATCAAAATAATTGGCTAATTCTACAAGTCTAGTAGCTGATGGCTCCCTTCCTAATTTATAATTATGAAGTGCATTTCTTGGGTAACCGAGTTCACGCTCTATTTGATTTATCGATGTATTTCTTAACCTGACTTGTTCTAGCAATCTATTGTAAAATAAATTATTTTTTCTCATGTTTTCACTTTCTTATAAAAACTTCATAATGATATTTTTATGAATTGCACATTCTTACCAAAATAGATATGTTTTTTTATTTTATTGTTAAATAATAAGAAACTATTTAGTATACATTTGTAATGTTTTAATTCATACTTGCACTACTTTAGAAACTAAATAAATAAATCATATTCAAAAATAGTCCCTACTATTTTGATATTTTTAAAGGATGCTTATTATACTATTCTTTTAAGTTAATATTTACTTTATTTTTAATAAAAAATTCCCATATTTAACCTTCCACAATATAAACAAATTTTTACTTTCTAAACTCATATTTATCCATTTTACAGAGAAATATATAATTTATACTTCTCTGTAAAATGGATATAAGTAAGTTAATTACATAACTTACTTATCCCATTTAATTAATAGCTATTTTGGTTGAATATAAGTAGCTAGTGCAGCGACACCAGCAGAAATATGACGTTCACTCACGATATTATTCCCTTTTACATTCATTTCAGAAACTAAAATAGAATTATCTGAATATACTTTTTCTACGAATGCCACATGACCATATATAATACTAGATCCTGCAACTCCTGGAGGAAAACTTACTGCATATCCTTCCGTTGGAACAGATGTAGTATAATAACCCTGAATTTTAGCATTGATTCCCCATTCTCCTCCATTTCCCATAAAGTTACCAATCTTACCACCAAGTTGGATTATACGATTGTAGACATATTGTGTACAATTTCCGAAGGCATAACTTTCAGAGCCAGGATATTGTTCCCCATTATATACGGGAAAATCTGATTTATCACCTCTTGAAGTCACAACTGGACTAGTAGGAATATTGTCACCCAGGACTTGAGTTGAGCTATCTACATTATCATAAGCATCCAATTTATACTCTTGAATAATTTCAATTAATTTTTGTGCATATGCTGGGTCAGTAGCAAAAATTCCTTGCAAGGCTTCAGCTGCTTCCCGATAATTTTTAGCATGTGATTTCCATGCACCAGCATAAATCTCAGAATTCCAAGTTGTTCCCTTAATCATCAAATTAATATAATCATCCAAAGCTTGATCATAATTACTATATATTCTGAAACTTTGTTCAATATAAAATGGAGTATTTCCTGAAAATTCTTCTGTTTTAAAAGAAATAGATTTTCCTAAGTAAGCACCAGTAATATTGAAAATATTAAAATATTGTTGACTCATATTGCTTTGACCAGAACCAGATTCTAAAATGGCCTGCGCCAAGATGATTGAAGCATACAGATTATTTTTACCAGCTAAAATTCTCACACGATCCGCAATACTTTTGATAAAAGCATCAGTACTAGTGACATCAATTTTTTCAATCGGCTTAGCAGCATCAATTTCTTTTAAAACCGGACCAGTATAAACAGACTTCTCCGAGTCAGCTGACGAACTTGGTATTTGTACAGATGTTGAAGTTTGATTATATGATGTCGTTCCTTGTGAATAATTAAAAGGAGCCGATGCGGAAGTAGATGGAGCTTGAGTTGTGGTTGAAGGAGTACTAGCAGAACTATTAGTTGATGGTGAACTAGAAGTACTTGGTTTCGATGATGAATCTGACGTACTTGGTTTCGATGATGAATCTGATGTACTTGGTTTCGATGATGAATCTGATGTACTTGGTTTCGATGATGAATCTGATGTACTTGGTTTCGATGATGAATCTGATGTACTTGGTTTCGATGATGAATCTGATGTACTTGGTTTCGATGATGAATCTGATGTACTTGGTTTCAATGATGAATCTGATGTACTTGGTTTCGATGATGAATCTGATGTACTTGGTTTCGATGATGAATCTGATGTACTTGGTTTCGATGATGAATCTGATGTACTTGGTTTCGATGATGAATCTGATGTACTTGGTTTCGATGATGAATCTGACGTACTTGGTTTCGATGAGTCTGAAGTTATCCCTGAAGTATCTCCACTACTACTAACAGTTACCTCGTCAGCATTACTTGCTACACCAAAAACTGTCATACCCAAAATCAAAGCCGTTCCTGCGATAAACTTTTCTTTTTTCAAATGTTTAACCTTTAGTTTTTGTAATATGCCTTAAATAAACTATTTAAATCCTGTTGAACCTCCAAAAAGAAGTTACATATTTTTTTATGTGGAACCTCTTTTTATTCAGTTCTAATTGGGGAAAATAGTTAAATCAGCAAACTTCTATTTATTTTCTTTGTTCTCTTTTCTTCTCTTTCCGAACAATGCTGCACCAATACCTCCAAAGAGTGTTGCAAGACCTATAGAGCTAGCAACTGACCCATCAGACGATCCTGTCTTAGGTAAGTACCCTGTTCCACCATTGTTTACAGAACTACTGTTTCCTGGCAAATTACTTGCATTACTATTTGTAGTAGAGACACTTGGTGGAGTGCTTGTGCTTAATGAGTTTGAATCACTCAACGATGTGCTTGTACTCAATGAATTCGAATCACTCATTGACGTAGACAAGCTTGATGAATCTGAAGTACTTAATGAGTTTGAAACAGACATTGAACCTGAATCACTCAATGATGTACTTGTGCTCAATGAGTTTGAATCACTGATTGATGTAGACAAGCTTGATGAATCTGAAGTACTTAATGAGTTTGAATCAGACATTGAACCTGAATCACTCAACGATGTGCTTGTACTCAATGAATTTGAATCACTGATTGATGCAGACATTGAACTTGAATCACTCAATGATGTGCTTGTGCTCAATGAGTTCGAATCACTCATTGACGTAGACAAGCTTGATGAGTCTGAGGTACTTAATGAGTTTGAATCACTCATTGATGCAGACATTGAACTTGAATCACTCAATGATGTACTTGTGCTCAATGAGTTCGAATCACTCATTGATGTAGACAAGCTTGATGAGTCTGAGGTACTTAATGAGTTTGAAACAGACATTGAACCTGAATCACTCAATGATGTGCTTGTGCTCAATGAGTTCGAATCACTCATTGATGTAGACAAGCTTGATGAGTCTGAGGTACTTAATGAGTTTGAAACAGACATTGAGCCTGAATCACTCAATGATGTGCTTGTGCTCAATGAGTTTGAATCACTGATTGACGCAGACATTGAACCTGAATCACTCAATGATGTGCTTGTGCTCAATGAGCTTGAATCACTGATTGATGCAGACATTGAACTTGAATCACTCAATGATGTGCTTGTGCTCAATGAGTTTGAATCACTGATTGACGTAGACATCGAACTTGAATCACTCAACGATGTGCTTGTACTCAAGGAGTTCGAATCACTGATTGATGTAGACAAGCTTGATGAGTCTGAGGTACTTAATGAGTTTGAAACAGACATTGAGCCTGAATCACTCAATGATGTGCTTGTACTCAATGAGCTTGAATCACTGATTGACGTAGACATCGAACTTGAATCACTCAATGATGTGCTTGTGCTCAATGAGTTTGAATCACTGATTGACGTAGACATCGAACTTGAATCACTCAACGATGTGCTTGTACTCAATGAGTTCGAATCACTGATTGATGTAGACAAGCTTGATGAGTCTGAGGTACTTAATGAGTTTGAATCACTGATTGATGTAGACAAGCTTGATGAGTCTGAGGTACTTAATGAGTTTGAAACAGACATTGAGCCTGAATCACTCAATGATGTGCTTGTGCTCAATGAGTTTGAATCACTGATTGATGTAGACATCGAACCCGAATCACTCAATGATGTGCTTGTGCTCAATGAGTTCGAATCACTGATTGACGCAGACATTGAACCTGAATCACTCAATGATGTACTTGTGCTCAATGAGTTTGAATCACTGATTGACGTAGACATCGAACTTGAATCACTCAACGATGTGCTTGTACTCAAGGAGTTTGAATCACTGATTGATGTAGACAAGCTTGATGAGTCTGAGGTACTTAATGAGTTTGAATCACTGATTGATGTAGACATTGAACCTGAATCACTCAATGATGTACTTGTGCTCAATGAGTTTGAATCACTGATTGACGTAGACATCGAACTTGAATCACTCAACGATGTGCTTGTGCTCAATGAGTTTGAATCACTGATTGATGTAGACATCGAACCCGAATCACTCAACGATGTGCTTGTACTCAATGAGTTCGAATCACTGATTGATGTAGACAAGCTTGATGAGTCTGAGGTACTTAATGAGTTTGAATCACTGATTGATGTAGACATCGAACCCGAATCACTCAATGATGTGCTTGTGCTCAATGAGTTCGAATCACTGATTGACGCAGACATTGAACCTGAATCACTCAATGATGTACTTGTGCTCAATGAGTTTGAATCACTGATTGACGTAGACATCGAACTTGAATCACTCAACGATGTGCTTGTGCTCAATGAGTTTGAATCACTGATTGATGTAGACATTGAACCTGAATCACTCAATGATGTACTTGTGCTCAATGAGTTTGAATCACTGATTGACGTAGACATCGAACTTGAATCACTCAACGATGTGCTTGTGCTCAATGAGTTTGAATCACTGATTGACGTAGACATCGAACTTGAATCACTCAACGATGTGCTTGTACTCAATGAGTTCGAATCACTGATTGATGTAGACAAGCTTGATGAGTCTGAGGTACTTAATGAGTTTGAAACAGACATTGAGCCTGAATCACTCAACGATGTGCTTGTGCTCAATGAGTTTGAATCACTGATTGACGCAGACATTGAACCTGAATCACTCAATGATGTACTTGTGCTCAATGAGTTTGAATCACTGATTGATGTAGACAAACTTGATGAGTCTGAAATGCTTGTTGAGGTTGAGGTACTTGTTGAAACAGACATTGAACCTGAATCGCTCAATGATGTGCTTGTACTCAATGAGTTCGAATCACTGATTGATGCAGACAAACTTGATGAGTCTGAAATGCTTGTTGAGGTTGAGGTACTTGTTGAAACAGACATTGAACCTGAATCGCTCAACGATGTGCTTGTACTCAATGAATTTGAATCACTGATTGATGCAGACATTGAACTTGAACCGCTCAATGATGTGCTTGTACTCAATGAGTTTGAATCAGACACTGAGCCTGAATCACTCAACGATGTGCTTGTGCTCAATGAGTTTGAATCACTGATTGATGCAGACATTGAACTTGAACCGCTCAATGATGTGCTTGTACTCAATGAGTTTGAATCACTGATTGATGTAGACAAACTTGATGAGTCTGAAATGCTTGTTGAGGTTGAGGTACTTGTTGAAACAGACATTGAACCTGAATCACTCAACGATGTGCTTGTACTCAATGAGTTTGAATCACTGATTGACGTAGACATTGAACCTGAATCGCTCAACGATGTGCTTGTACTCAATGAGTTTGAATCACTGATTGATGCAGACATTGAACTTGAACCGCTCAATGATGTGCTTGTACTCAATGAGTTCGAATCACTGATTGATGTAGACAAACTTGATGAGTCTGAAATGCTTGTTGAGGTTGAGGTACTTGTTGAAACAGACACTGACCCTGAATCACTCAACGATGTGCTTGTACTCAATGAGTTCGAATCACTGATTGATGTAGACAAGCTTGATGAGTCTGAAGTACTTAATGAGTTTGAATCAGACACTGACCCTGAATCACTCAACGATGTGCTTGTACTCAATGAGTTTGAATCACTGATTGATGCAGACAAACTTGATGAGTCTGAAATGCTTGTTGAGGTTGAGGTACTTGTTGAAACAGACACTGAACCTGAATCGCTCAACGATGTGCTTGTACTCAATGAGTTTGAATCACTGATTGATGTAGACATCGAACTTGAATCACTCAACGATGTGCTTGTACTCAATGAGTTTGAATCACTGATTGACGTAGACATTGAACCTGAATCGCTCAACGATGTGCTTGTACTCAATGAGTTTGAATCACTGATTGATGCAGACATTGAACTTGAACCGCTCAATGATGTGCTTGTACTCAATGAGTTCGAATCACTGATTGATGTAGACAAACTTGATGAGTCTGAAATGCTTGTTGAGGTTGAGGTACTTGTTGAAACAGACATTGAACCTGAATCGCTCAACGATGTGCTTGTACTCAATGAGTTCGAATCACTGATTGATGTAGACAAGCTTGATGAGTCTGAATTACTTAATGAGTTTGAATCAGACACTGACCCTGAATCACTCAACGATGTGCTTGTACTCAATGAGTTCGAATCACTGATTGATGTAGACAAACTTGATGAGTCTGAAATGCTTGTTGAGGTTGAGGTACTTGTTGAAACAGACATTGAACCTGAATCGCTCAACGATGTGCTTGTACTCAATGAATTTGAATCACTGATTGATGCAGACAATGAACTTGAACCGCTCAATGATGTGCTTGTACTCAATGAGTTTGAATCACTGATTGATGCAGACATTGAACTTGAACCGCTCAATGATGTGCTTGTACTCAATGAGTTCGAATCACTGATTGATGTAGACAAACTTGATGAGTCTGAAGTACTTAATGAGTTTGAATCAGACACTGAAACTGAATCACTCAAGGATGTGCTTGTACTCAATGAGTTCGAATCACTGATTGATGTAGACAAGCTTGATGAGTCTGAAGTACTTAATGAGTTTGAATCAGACACTGAACCTGAATCACTCAATGATGTGCTTGTGCTCAATGAGTTTGAGTCACTGATTGACGTAGACAATGAATCGGAAGTACTTAATGAGTTTGAGTCACTGATTGATGTAGACAAGCTTGATGAGTCTGAAGTACTTAATGAGTTTGAATCAGACACTGAACCTGAATCACTCAATGATGTGCTTGTGCTCAATGAGTTTGAGTCACTGATTGACGTAGACAATGAATCGGAAGTACTTAATGAGTTTGAGTCACTGATTGACGTAGACAATGAATCTGAAGTACTTAATGAGTTTGAGTCACTGATTGACGTAGACAATGAATCTGAAGTACTTAATGAGTTTGAATCACTGATTGACGTAGACATTGAATCGGAAGTACTTAATGAGTTTGAATCACTGATTGACGTAGACATTGAATCGGAATCACTGATTGAGTTTGAATCACTGATTGACGTAGACAATGAATCGGAAGTACTTAATGAGTTTGAATCACTGATTGACGTAGACAATGAATCGGAATCACTGATTGAGTTTGAATCACTGATTGACGTAGACAATGAATCGGAAGTACTTAATGAGTTTGAGTCACTGATTGACGTAGACAATGAATCGGAAGTACTTAATGAGTTTGAATCACTGATTGACGTAGACATTGAATCGGAATCACTGATTGAGTTTGAATCACTGATTGACGTAGACAATGAATCGGAATCACTGATTGAGTTTGAATCACTAATGCTATTACTCAATGAATCGGAATCACTAATGGAATTTGATAATGAACTTGAATCACTGATGCTTTCACTCATTGAGTCTGAATCACTGATTGAAATTGATAATGAGTTTGAATCACTAATGCTATTACTCAATGAATCGGAATCACTAATGGAATTTGATAATGAACTTGAATCACTGATGCTTTCACTCATTGAGTCTGAATCACTGATTGAAATTGATAATGAGTTTGAATCACTAATGCTATTACTCAATGAATCGGAATCACTAATGGAATTTGATAATGAACTTGAATCACTGATGCTTTCACTCATTGAGTCTGAATCACTGATTGAAATTGATAATGAGTTTGAATCACTAATGCTATTACTCAATGAATCGGAATCACTAATGGAATTTGATAATGAACTTGAATCACTGATACTTTCACTCATTGAGTCTGAATCACTAATTGAAGTTGAACCACTAATGGAATCTGATAGTGAGCTTGAATCACTAATGCTAGTGCTCATTGAATCGGAATCACTGATTGAATCTGATAATGAACTACTTGATGAGATAGAAGTGCTTATTGATTGGCTAATACTTTCTGATGTTGTATTACTATTTAAAGAGTCACTTATTGATACACTCGTACTCAGTGAAGTTGAAGTACTTATTGATGAACTTGTTGATGTAGAAGTACTCGTTGACATAGAAGTACTTCCCTCAGGACTATAAACGTAAATTGATACATTTGTTGTTGATGTTGTATCTGCGACTACAGTAGTTGTAGGTTGGTTTGTATTTGATGGAAGCATATCAGATCCGGGCTGAATGTATACATATCCAGTTGGTACATTGGTTTGAGTATAAAGATTGCTGCTCCAATCAATCGTGTTTCCTACATTAGCTGGGACATTAGTTGTACCTGCCATTTCGCTTCCAACATTTCCTGAGTCAGTTGCAACTGCTAATCCAGTTTGAGCATCTACATATGTATATGAAATATTAGGGTTTGATTGACCATAAACATAGATATTATATGTGTAAGTTTCGCCCGTCATAGGAACATTGGCGTAGTTCGCTTGCCCGTACTGATCTCCGTTATCTATAGAACTTGTTGGGTCACCTCCAGGTTGCCCGTTAGTTCCTGTAGGTGCACCTGAATAAATCTGATTATCAGTACTTCCTCCTAAAGCCCACATATAACCTGAAGGCATATTGTCAACCGCATAAGTTGTGTTAACTAGACTAATGTTTTGACCGATATAATTTGAGTCATCACTTAACGGAACACTCGTAGTGCCTACAGTATCACCATTTTGATTGACATAATTAATTTTTATATCTCCAACAGGTAGAGCATTAGTTTGCAGCTCTCGTGTGCTAGTATTAATAATACTAGATGTTGCAGTACCACCAGTAACCGAAGTTGTTCCGTTTTGAACAGTTAAATTACCAAATGTACCTGTTGCATCAGGTGTTGCTGGGCTAGCATTGGTTCCTTGCCATGTGTTAATACTGGAATTATTCATCGTAAATTTCCCAGCCCCACTTACGAGTGGCCCTGTACTTGGAGTACCTGTAGCAGTATCAACAGCCATATGCAATGATTTAGGAGAAATAAAGGTAACACTTGAACCAGCACTATTTGTCTGTATAACTGCTCCATTAGCCCACTGATTGATGTCTAACGTTGTAGCAGCATTAAAGAGTACGCTTTGAGTCCCTTGTACTCTAATAGCCCCTGGTTGAGTTGATTTAGGTATCGAGAGGTTAAAATTTTGTCCAAAAGTATATTTTGCTGTGGCTGCAGCACCCTGTTGTCCATTAATAAAGTACTGGAAACCTGTTTGCGACCATTGAACATTATCCCCCGTTGTAATTCCATTAACATAATAATATGCGGCCGGATAGTTAGCAGCCTGCCCATTATAAGTATTAGCAGTATTAGAAGAGCCATCTCCCATTGTAATAGTATTCCCGTAACCTACACTGCTAGATGACGCAACAGTTTCAAAGTAGAACTCCGAAAATCGGACATCATTTGAAGTACGATTTAGAACCACACTCGAATTATTCGCAAAATTAATACTACCTACCGAACGCGTTACCTCATTCGAAATATTAAATGTATTTGTACCAGAGAAAACTAATTTAGAACCAACTCCATACATTAAATGGATAGGATTATTTCCATTTGAAGTGCTCTTTGTCAGTGTCAGATTGTTTACATTTGCTGTTAACTGAGTGGCACCAGAAGGACTAATAAGTGAGTAGCCGTTCCCATCGTTTGCAGCAAAGCCTTGTTGTGCTACCATATTACTCAAAGTAAAAGTGGTTGAAGTTGTAATATTTGCCCAGTCAAAACTTTGTGTTCCAAGATCTACCGTATTGTTATTTCCTTGTACAATAACACTTGCACCATTTGCCCGGTTAGTCATAGCTGTCCCACCGGAAGTAGGATAAGTAACATTAGCAGTAATATCAATATAGGTAATATTGGCATTTGCCCAAGCACTTTGTAATTGTGCATATGTTGTTACATTTGCATATGTACCATTTGTAATCGCCGTAGATTTATAAGTTGCGTCATTTAGAACTTGATCTGGAGTTGCAACAGTAACTGATGTGGGTGATGAAGGGGTAGTATTAAGCCCTGTCTCAAAATCTCCTCTATTAATATCCGGATCAGTTGCGACTTTATTTATTGTACTCCCCGCAGTGGTTGCGAGCGCCTTTGCCGCCGGAATCGTCGCCCCTGAAGTATTTGCTGATACTGACTCAGTTTGAGTAGCTACCGCAACTCCTGCCACTGCTCCACCACCTAAAACACTAACAGTGGAAAGTGCTGCATACATCCAACGTTTCTTACTCTTATACATCCGGTAACGTAATTTTGGCTCCGAGAATATTAGAGATTTATTTTTATTTTTTAAATTCATTCTTATTTTCCTATTTATAAATATATTTTTTATTCTTGTCAATAAATTATTCTAATTTTCAGGGGCCTCTTTTATTAACTGATTCAAAAAGCAACATAAAGAAAGGTGCCCAAACTTTTACATCTCCAATAAAAGTAACATTTGTAATTTCCATTATTTTGCCCCCTTAAAAGAAATATAACTTCGGTTCACCCTGTCTACTGGCCATCAACTCCGAAAATAATTGATTCTGCTTTAATTACTGCATCTCGTGTGAATCCACCATTTCTCAAAATATTAGCCATATTTCTAGCATTTGACTTAAACAGTTGTAGTTGATTATCACTCATTTTATCGAGCTTTTCTTTTATTTCATAAGGGTCACTTATCGTAAATCCAAGATGATGTGAATCAATAAAATGAGCAATGGCTGCTTCTTCCCAAACAATTACCGGCATCCCCAGACTAAGATATAATGAAACTTTATGAGGACTATTAAACCTTGTATACCCTTGATAGTCCCCACCTCCTGGAAGATTATCATCCCACGCAATACCAAAAGAATCTCCTGAAATATTTTTTAGTAAATCTTGAGAGCTAAACGAACCATGATATATTACATTGACACCAAATATTTCCTTTGTTTTACGCCCAAAAGCATGTAGTTCTGGCATATTCATTGGCCAGTTTTCTATAAAAATCGATTTATCTAAATTACCAGCAATAGTTACTTTTTTCTCAATTTCACTATTAATTGGCAAAGTATCCGTATGGAGATAGTCAAAAAGTTCTTTACAAATTATTTTTGTTTGCACACCATATTCTCTAAGCGCATCATTCATCTTTGCCCCATGACCTATAACCACATCTGCATTGTTTAAAAAGATGTTTTCATTTGGGAAAAAACCCCTTAACCACTCTGAATCATGCATAAGCACAATTACCTTAGCTCCAATAGTTTTAAGCTTATCCATAAATGTTTCTTCAAATCTAACTCCCAATAGCGTAGGGAATTGATAAAGAATAACATCTCCATTTTCAATTTCAGATAATACCCCATTTAGTAATGCGTCCAGAATTCCATCCGACATTATTCGTGTATCTTGCATTCGGATACTAATTTTTTCATATCCTAACTGCTGTGCTATTTTCGTAATATCACTTTTGGGTTTAGTAACTGCATCCCTAGATTCGGCCTGTATAATATTAACTACCCATCTTTGCATTATTTCTCCTCTTTATCAGATTACTTTAATCATATTTGATGTCTTATTCTTATAAAATTTTATAAATAAAAGATAACAGAATAACCAAAGTCATCATAATGGCTATAAGGATAATAATAAATTTACCGTAGCCTTTTTCTTCTGCATCATTTATGACCATATCACTTTCCTCTTGAAACATTTGTTCTATCTCATCATCCAATTGACTATTTTTTTGAAATGAGGAGTAGATAAATGGTCTATTGACTTATTAATACTTGAAGAAGAATTTACTAGATCCTGTGCTTTCTTAGCTTTCATATTCTTTTTTTCTTTCTCTTATAACTTTGACTTTTGAAACAGGTACTCCTTTTTAATTAATGACTGCTTCGTTTCTAAAGACACTTCAACTTCTTGAATATAGTCAATTTTATTTGTAAGAATTGCTAATAAATTACCTTTAACTTCTCCATTTTCATCAAAGGAGATTCATTTAGACGAAGAATATTATGAGAATTAGTTTTAGATAGTGCAGTTAATTCTAGGCCTAAGAAAGAAATTCTCACCTGATCTATTGAAGTGATTATTTTTGCTACTTGCTCAGAGATAAAAGAATCTAGAGATTTGAAACCTTCTTTTACTTCTCCCGTGTGTTGATCATTCAAACTGACGTACTCCAATCTCCCTTCATAAAAGAAATAACTAATTACTGGGATTTTTTTGTCATTATAAAAATGAATTTCTTGAGGAAGATTATTAAAATAAAAAATTTCACTAAAAATCTTACCATCAATGGCATATTCTTCAATATAGTCCTTCTCTCCATTTTCATGAAGGTATTGTATATTTTTAACAAGTCGTCTTGTATTTTGAAATAATTCCATTATTCCAATCTCTTGACCTTCATGAATGATTGAAATAGAGTAATCTTCATTCATAAAAATTTCAGAAAAACTTGGAACTGGCGCTCTGTTAAAAAATAGGGACTGTGATAAGTCATAACTTCTTCTGGTTAAGTAATCAAAAAGATTGATTCCTTCGATTTTTAAATCTTCTATAGACTTTGAAAATTCTGGACTAGGCAAAACACTTATTAATTTTTCAGCTTCACAATGTAATCTTTCAGCGATTCCTTCCCATTCGGGATTTCCTCTCCTAATAAGTGTGACTAATTCATAATTCATCTAATACCTGCTTCCATTTGTTTCCGATAACAGAATCTTGATATTTCTCTACAGATTCAATCGTATCTCGTTTTAATTCCACATAATTGCCTTTGATCATTTGATAAATCCCTTGCTTTAGCTGAGCAATATTAAAGCTCTCATCCCCTCTCTTAAAATCTTTTAAGTAGCCATTTACTCCATCTGTTATAAGTTCAAGCGCTCCAAAACGAGCTTTAAACGTTATAATAGGAAGTCCAGCATTCAAAGCTTCAATATAAGTCAATCCAAATCCTTCTGAATATGAAGCGGATATGAAGGCGTCATATTGTTTATAAATGTCTTCTAAATTATTAGAGTGTCCTTTAAGATGAATATAGTCGTTAGCTTCAAGCTCATTAATAACATTTTGGAGTTTCGCTTCTTCTACGCCTTGACCATATATATCAAAAATTATTTCAGGGTACTCTCCATGAATCTCAGAAAATGCACGAATTGCTAAATCAATATGCTTTTCACTTGCTAACCTGGAAGCAGTCATAAATTTTAAAGGTCTTTCTGTATTTGATGAATCACTCGATGACTTTCTTTTGTCTCGAATTCCCCCAACAGGAATAGTAACAAATTTGTCTTCCATCCCTGGGAAATCTTTTATGAAATCTTCTCTTTGTAAATCAGTTGATACAATTATTTTATCTGCTTGATCAATATGAGTTAAAAGATACTCATAATAATTATTCCATAAAGGATCTTTTGCCACAGCCCTATCTCCTAAGTGATCCGCATGAATTACTTCTAAAATATTTTGATTTAAAAATTGATGATTAAAAAGGGCTACTTCCGGCTCTTCTCCTCGATCTAAAATAAAAGTATTTTTATCCAGGAAAATTTTAGAGAGACATTCAAAAAAATAACGCTGAAATAAAATCTCATTTCTAAAAAATAAATGCTCCCCTTCAAAATCATAGATATGGATATTTTCTAATATTCTTCCCCTTCGAGGATGCTTAAATTCATTGAACATTATTTTTCGCTCTCCGGTTAAAAATCAAAAATTTCAATTTTATAACGAGAAACTAATAAAAATTCATTATTCTTTGGATTCGGAGACTTTTCAATGTGCTCTTTAATCAATAATCCTGAAGAGGTCACCGTCTGAACAATGCGGTGAGTATTAGAAAAATCCTTAATAATTTGATCTTGACGCTCTGCTTTTCTTATTAATCCTGACCTAGCTACCTCTGGTCCAAAGGTGAAAAACTCCCAAATATCAATTACTTTTTCCGAAGATATTTCCCAATGCTCCATAGCTTCTTTTAGTTCTTTAACTAATTCTGTAAAAATATATTTATAAGGAATACCTAAATTATCAAAAAGTTGTGCTCTATAAAATTGAGCATGCTCAACTCCTGAATTACCAATTCCCATAGCTTTATTTATAAAAAAATTCATACTTCATTTTCTCCTAATTATTTTGGGGTATATTCTCTTTATATCTGATCAATTTTTTCCTTCCTCTGCAACATTTGCAGTATTATATTGCTATATTTTCTAACTTCTCTAAAACGTTTTAGAGAAGTTTCATCACTATCATCCTTTACACTAATGGAATTAATGATTTTTACATTCGGGCAAAATTTTCTCAAAATATCTGATAAATTTTGGTAGAAATCAGGAATACTTGCAATATATTCTCCGTATGAAATAATAACCATTTTTTTTTGATTTCTGATAATTTCTAAAAGTTCTAAAATCAAATATATAAAGGTTTCTTCCTTCTCATTAATCAAGAGACATAGCTCACTTGATTTATGTCTAGGAGTTAAAATAGTAGTCACTTTATCAAGTGGACTAATCATGACTTCTATCTCTTCTTTCTCGCTTAAGGATGATAATATTCTAAAAAAATTTCCCTCATAATTTTTGGATAATTCTACAGTTTCCCACTCCTCTATTTCAGAAATAGTCATAAAACTAAATACTATTAACTCGTGTTGGTGATTGATTAAATTAACTGTATAGCTAACTGCTTCTGCTGGATACGTAAATACTAGACTTAGACCATCAAAATACTCTATACCAATTTTCTGATTTGACTTATCATAAAATTCTATTATTGTCTGGACATTGTTCTTATTATTTTTTTCAATATATAATTCAATTTTATAAGTACTATTGGCCAATAATAGTGGTAAAGTAGGAGAAATTCGGTCATTCGAATAATTACCTGCAGAATTCCATGTCTTAATCCTTGCTCCTACAGGCATCATTGGTGAGGAAAACTTTACATTTTCTTTTGCTATTATTATCTCCGATCCATATGAATAGGTACCCGAATAACTATTTCCCCATTTTATTATTGAAATTTGTTTCAAAATTTTTCCTTCATTCCAATCATAGTGAATACTTTATAAGTGATAATCAATTCTTCTTAGAAATTTATCCCATAAGATATTCCGATATTGTTTAATAAACCATGTATTAATCTCTACGCTATTGTCATTATGCCTTCCTATTAATCCTTTATATAGTAGAACAGGTTGAGGAGAGAGAGTACGGAGATAAGTTGCTATCTGATAAAAAGCTTCCCCATCATAATCATCATTTTTCATATATGCTATAGCAAAAGTCGTATTTTGGTATTTCCCATTTTTAAACTTAGTCCAAAATTTATCATTCAGCTGGTTAGCTACATTATGATTAGAGGCATTTCCAAAGTGCATTATCATATCCAGAGAAGTGCCCCATATTTCTGGTCGGTTAATTCTTTCATTTTCAGCAATTAATCCTATATTTATTAACGGTTTACCCACAATCACTGCTGCTGGTTCTAAATCTGCTGAATAATAAAGTGCGGCAAAAGTCCCCATAGATAGACCTGACAAAATAAGTTCCCGATTTGTAAAGCCTAACCATTTCAGCTTTTCATTAATAATATCTATGATTCCTTCTTCTAATTCAACACTCCCAATATAAAAGTTGCCTCCTTCCAATCGAGGATCAGCTATCAGAATGAACGGACTTCCCATTCGAGACATCATGCCCCTTCCTTCGAATCCTTCGGCAGACCTATATCCAGAAAAATATACTGACAAAGGGGGTTTAAAATCGCCAGGATGAAAATAATAGAGTAGTTCCTCGTTTCGCCTCTGATAATCAATGATTCGCTTCCCATTTTGAATCATGATACTCTCTTCTGAAACGTAACTTCTAAAATGAATCTGTCCAATCTCCAGTTTTCCCTCTCCTCCTGAAGCGCAGAGGGAGACACTCACTAATTTATTAGTATCAGTAGAATTGATAATAAGCTTTTTTTGATTCATAAACTCTTCTGGACTACCCTTTATAACTTCTATAATTCTATTAGTAGCTTGATCAATTAGAAAAACTTGAAATTCTAAGACCACATTCCCAGAAACAACTTTAATTTCAGGGGTAAAAGTTAGGGTTGTATTACCCTCAATACCAAAAGGATGCATTTTCCAACTAACTATCTGATTCATTTTTTGTCCAAAATCTCCTAAAATTTCAAAATGACTATTCCCTTTCTTTACTGTTTTATCCCTAAATTGTTCTCTTATCTCAACGTAGGACATATCTAACTTATATCCATATTGCTTTATTGATGATTGCATAACGAATTCAATAATCTTTTTAAGTTCTTTTCCATTATCCAAATTAACAGGTTTACCAAATTTTGATTTTAAAATGTTTTTTTGGATTTCTGGAAGAGAACTATTAGAATCAAAGAGAATTTGGTAGGCTGGGAATTGTTCTAAAAGTTTTGGGAAATTGAAAAGAAGAGTGGCATCTTTTCCAAAGATATAGATATTACGCGATTTTTTCTTGTTGAATTTATTTTCAATAAAAATTTCTAAATTCTCTACATCTGAAATAAAATTATAATTTCCTGCTAATATGTTATAGTTGTATTTATCAAGTACCTCTTTAGGAAAATTTAATTTTGTTCCACCAAATTGAATAATTTCATTTTTCATACGATTGGAATATTTCTCTCCATTTCATCATTATAGTTTCAGAATCATATTGTTCGATAATATCAATGCTCTCAACCAAAGCTTCATTCCATTTTCTTAATTCGCAGATAAAATAGTCGACATAACTTATTAATTTATCATTGATTGTTTCAAGTTCTAATAAAAAACCATTCTTTCCTTCACTTATTAATTCACTCTCATGAATTGATAAAATAGGAATTCCACTACTTACCGCAATTGAATGGCGTAATATACTATAATTTTCATCAAAATCTAAATAGATTCTGCTATTTTTAATCAAAGCTCTCAGTTCCTCATTCTCTAAATGGTTGACGTATTGAATTCGCAAATTTGCATTTACTGCTCTGACGTAACTTGTCCATTTTGCAGTTTTTTGTATTTCTTTTACGGAATCAATGTCTTTTTTAAATAGCTTTTTCATTTTCTGAGCAACAATATAACTATGAACTTTTTGGTAATCTGAAGAATTTAAATCAATCCCAAAATATTCTTCAATTAATAGTGTTTGTAAAAATTTAACTCTTTCCAGACGTTCTGGATTATTTATTTCAAGTATTAGGCCAACCTGATCATCTTCTATTACTCTTTGAACAAGTAGTTGTAAAGTTTTATCATCTATAGCATTAGAAATTTTACAAAATATTTTCATCAGTGACTCCGAATCGCTATCACCAAGATCAAGTTCAGGGTAAAATATTGGAACATGAAAATAATTTTTTTCACTATCCTTCATTAAATTTTGGCTATCCGTAATAATTTTCTTATTTTGAATCTCTTTATAATCTATTTTTTCACTTGTAAGTAAGTGAAATGTTCTAACATTACTATTAATCCCTTGGAATTGCTCTAAAATTAATTTATCCGTGGTTGTTAATAACGAGATAGGCTGTTCTGGTACGTCTTTATATTTTTTATCAATAAAACTTTTTACAACTTCATTTACTATGTTTTCAATGGAATTATACTTTTTATTCTTTAAAAAAATACTCCCCTCTTTTTCTACTGTAACTCCTTGCTCATTATGAGTTAGTGTATGCTCTCCAAGTTCATTAAAATATTCAACTTGATAAATTTGATTATTATTGATATAACGTTTATACGTAACAAACCCTCTATCATCATAGACTTCTTCACATACATCCCCATTTTCTAGATAATATCTTGTTAATGCTGGAAACCCGAATTGATTATATAAAACTTTTCCAATAATATAATCTTTAGCATACAAAATCGTTGATGTAGGCGTAAAAATTTTATCAACCTCTTGCGGGACATCGATATCTTCTAGTGTTATAGGATGGCCTGTCTCTATTTTAATATTTTGTATAAAGTCAAATAATCTTAAAATTTTAGTATATTCATAACCTTCTTTATTTAACTCATACCTCAAAAAAGGGAATATATTAGTTAATAAAACTTGATGTTCAAAATTTTGATTTTTAAAAAATTTTGATAATGTGAAAAGTCGATCCTCACTCCACTCTATATTTTCACTCCAATTTGGTACCATGTACAACATTATTTCTTCCTTCTATCTATCAAAATATTTTATAATGCCTTTTTGCAATCATAAATTTAATGTCTTCATTTAAATTATCAACGATAATAATTACCATAAAAATACTCCCAAAATAAAAGGCTAAATTTGTAATCTCTGGGAATTTCAAACCAATAATCATTGGTATCAGAGATACAACTAGCATGTACACATTCCCTATAACAATCATTCTATTGAGTGTTTTTCTTAAAAATCTCTCTGTTTCTCGTCCTGGAGTTACACCTAAAATGTAATCTCCGGAGTTTCTTAAGGATTTTGCAATATCAAAAACTCGTATATTGACATGACTAAAACCATAGCCAAGTAAAACAATCACAGCTCCATAAGTAATTATCCCGATAGTGGTTGTATAAGAGAACATTTGAGTGATAATGTATAAGAAAGTTGTATTTTGTAATGAAGGAATTAGTGTAAAAAGTTGAGGAATTGAGAACAAGGTAATTCCAAACATGAAAGGTAATGCTCCAGCAGATAAAACCTTTATTGGAATATATGAATTTTGAAATGATACATCAATAGCAGTTTGTTGAACATGGATTCTACGCTCCCCCTTATATAAAAATACAGAAGTAAAAAGAAATAGAAGCGTAATGGGTATCAAAATTCCCATTCCTAGAGGAGTTATGAAAAATCCTTTATTAGTTTGACCAGAAAATAACATCGCTGGAATATTGGCTAATAATCCGGGTAAGATAAGGACCATCTGCTTTCCTACACCCTTTTTCATGTTGATATCAGCAATATACGAAACTATCATTCCACCTGTTATTAATAGTAATATTAATGAAAAATTAACCTCACTTTCAGTTAACCTTTCAAATTTTTCATAGGCAATACTTGTTTTAAAATGTGCAATTGTTGTGGCTGCTTGAAGTATACAAAATATAAAAGTTAATATTCTTTGTACAAACCCTGCTTGCTTCTTTGACAAATTATTAATTGAATCAATGTCTAACATTGATAGTGTACTCCATAAAATAAGAGCCATCATATAAGGCCCTAAACCCAAGGAGAATAGCGTTAACTTCGTGGTATTTCCAGCGGTAACTGCAGAAAATATTCGTAGAATTCCTTCACTTTCTCCACTTGAAGATACTGAAGGAAGTTTGAGTAGTCCTCCAAATTGGACTATGGAGACAAATGCGAGCGTCCATAAACATCGCTTAATGACAGCATAATATTCTTTCATTTCTTTTTCCTATATCTTCATTTATTATTAAAATATTCTATAATCATTAATCATTTTGTCAAGGAAATTCAACATCTATAGACCCATCCGAATTAACAAACAATTCAGAAAGTAAGATACTCCTAGTAATATCTAGCCAAAGCTTATCCAAAGTTTCTGTAAAATATCGATTAGCCTCTTTTTGGAATTCATATAAAGGCTGATGTTGAGCCCAATTCCTATTTTTTACAACTGACTTTAGTTGGACTAAAGCATCCGATAAATCAATCCATAACAAATCGATTGATCTTAAGATAATAACTCTCTGATAATAATTTAACTGAAAAGTATTAGACAAATCTTGCTGCAATTCATTCATTTTAAAGTTGATTTTTTCATTTAAAAAACTGGAAACTGATTTTTTCGACCTGTTCTCTAAACTTCTTAATTCTGAAAGATCAAACGAATAGTCTATGTTGTTATACAAAAAATCTATTATTTTATATTCCGATAAGTTTTTCT